GTATGCAGAAAATTATAAGACACTGATGAAAGAAATTAAAGATGATACAAATAGATGGAGAGATATACCATGTTCTTGGATTGGAAGAATCAACATTGTGAAAATGACTGTACTACCCAAAGCAATCTACAGATTCAATGCAATCCCTATCAAACTGCCACTGGCATTTTTCACAGAACTAGAACAAAAAATTTCACAATTTGTATGGAAACACAAAAGACCCCGAATAGCCAAAGCAATCTTGAGAACGAAAAACGGTGCTGGAGGAATCAGGCTCCCTGACTTCAGACTATACTACAAAGCTACAGTAATCAAGACAGTATGGTACTGGCACAAAAACAGAACTATAGATCAATGGAACAGGATAGAAAGCCCAGAGATAAACCCACGCACATATGGTCACCTTATCTTTGATAAAGGAGGCAGGAATGTACAGTGGAGAAAGGACAGCCTCTTCAATAAGTGGTGCTGGGAAAACTGGACAGCTGCATGTAAAAGTATGAGATTAGATCACTCCCTAACACCATACACAAAAATAAGCTCAAAATGGATTAAAGACCTAAATGTAAGGCCAGAAACTATCAAACTCTTAGAGGAAAACATAGGCAGAACACTCTACGACATAAATCACAGCAAGATCCTTTTTGACCCACCTCCTAGAGAAATGGAAATAAAAATAAACAAATGGGACCTAATGAAACTTCAAAGCTTTTGCACAGCAAAGGAAACCATAAACAAGACCAAAAGACAACCCTCAGAATGGGAGAAAATATTTGCAGATGAAGCAACTGACAAAGGATTAATTTCCAAACTTTACAAGCAGCTCATGCAGCTCAATAACAAAAAAACAAACAACCCAATCCAAAAATGGCCAGAAGACCTAAATAGACATTTCTCCAAAGAAGATATACAGACTGCCAACAAACACATGAAAGAATGCTCAACATAATTAATCATTAGAGAAATGCAAATCAAAACTACAATGAGATATCATCTCACACCAGTCAGAATGGCCATCATCAAAAAATCTAGAAACAATAAATGCTGGAGAGGGTGTGGAGAAAAGGGAACACTCTTGCACTGCTGGTGGGAATGTGAATTGGTACAGCCACTATGGAGAACAGTATGGAGGTTCCTGAAAAAACTACAAATAGAACTACCATATGACCCAGCAATCCCACTACTGGGCATATACCCTGAGAAAACCGTAATTCAAAAAGAGTCATGTACCAAACTGTTCATTGCAACTCTATTTACAATAGCCTGGAGATGGAAACAACCTAAGTGCCCATCATCGGATGAACGGATAAAGAAGATGTGGCACATATATACAATGGAATATTACTCAGCCAGAAAAAGAAACGAAATTGAGCTATTTGTAATGAGGTGGATAGACCTAGAGTCTGTCATACAGAGTGAAGTAAGTCAGAAAGAGAAAGACAAATACCGTATGCTAACACGTATATATGGAATTTAAGAAAAAATGTCATGAAGAACCTAGGGTAAGACAGGAATAAAGACACAGACCTACTAGAGAACGGACTTGAGGATATGGGGAGGGGGAAGGGTGAGCTGTGACAAAGCGAGAGAGAGGCATGGACATATATACACTACCAAACGTAAGGTAGATAGCTAGTGGGAAGCAGCCGCATAGCACAGGGAGATCAGCTCGGTGCTTTGTGACCGCCTGGAGGGGTGGGATAGGGAGGGTGGGAGGGAGGGAGACGCAAGAGGGAAGAGATACGGGAACATATGTATAAGTATAACTGATTCATTTTGTTATAAAGCAGAAACTAACACACCATTGTAAAGCAATTATACCCCAATAAAGATGTTTTAAAAAATAAATAAAATAAAATAAATTAATAAAAATTTTTAAAATAAAATTAATTAATAAAAATAACCACTGCACCAGGGAAGCCCCCATAGTGATTTTTAAGTACAGACGCCTTATTATGTTGTTTAGTTGTTATTTGTTTATTTATAGGTTTCTCTCAATCCAGTGTATTTCTAATGCCACATACCTTGAGTCTCATAATTTAATGCAATAATAGAACAATAATGATGATAATAATAATAAACACTTCCCTGGACTCATCCTCCTTGGGACCCCCTGCCAAAAAATAAAAAATAAAATAAAATCTGTCTTTCCTAAACCCAAAGTCTTTCTCCATAGCTGTTTTCCCATTTCACTGCTAATCTTCAAGGCAAACATTTGCAAGGATTGTTACTGTTCAAATATTCCTCTCTCCCACGCCCCATTCTTTTCTCAACCCCCTGAAATCAGGTCTGTTCCAGCTACACCACCCAATCCGTGCTGTCAAGGATGTCGACAATTTCTATTAAGCCAAATTCAACAGTTTTTCTTTTTAATCCTCATTTTACTTCACTGTGCAGTGTTTACCTCACTGTCCAGCTGACAGCTGTGCCTTTAAGACTCTACTTTCTGAGTGTTTTTATTTCTCGAATTTATCTGTATTATTCCTATCTCACGTACGTCTCTCTGGAACTCCTATATTGTAGCCTCTTTATTTTATTAACCTTTAAATGTTTGGTACTTCTGGGAAATTGGAAACTCTGACCATGGCAAAACTGAGCCCGCCGTAGACCAGGCCTGCAGAGACAGGCAAAACTGGGTCTCTCTCTCTTTTTTAAAATTTTATTCAATTTAAGTTGATTTACAATGTTGTGTTAATTTCTGCTGTACAGCAAAATGATTCAGTTATACATACAGTATATATATTCTTTTTCATAGTCTTTTCCATTACAGTTTATCACAGGATATTGAATATAATTCCCTGTGCTGTACAGTAGGACCTTATTGTTTATCCATCTTACATATAACAGTTTGTGTCTGCTAATCCCAAACTCCCAATCCTTCCCTTCCCCAACCCCCTTTCACCCAATCAAAACAGCAGACAGAAAGCTAAATTTTTTTTAAATGAAAGCAATATAAGAGAACTATGGGTAATATAAAGCATGCCTATCTACACATAATAGGGAACCCAGAAGGAGAAGAAAGCTGGGTCTCTTGATGTTTCTAATCCAGCCACCGCCAGGGAGGTTTCCACCAAATCTGTTAAGATTGTGAGATACAGTTAGTCTTTGCCTTTTAATTTATTAAATTAAAAATATTGTGGAAAAAATAAAATAAATGTTTGGTACTTTTCTTTCATGGTTAGTTCTTTTGATTTCCTGTTAAAAAAATTTTTTTTTTTATATTTTGCCTCCCACAATGGAGATATTGGACATCTTCTAAGGTTTTGTGTTTTACCTTCTACCTTTAAATCTTAAATCCACTGCAAATTGATTTTTTATGCATATTGTGAAATAGGAGTTATGCTTCTTTTTTTAATATAAATATCTAGTTATGGAGCACCACTGATTAAAAAGACTGTCCTCTGTCTACTTCTCTGCAGTGGCACCTTTGACATAAGCCAGAGTTCCATTTATCAGCATGTGTATTTACAGACTCTATATTCTGTTCCATCTTTTTTATCTTTGCACACAAGCCACACACTCTAAACTATTGTAGTTTTATGCTAAGTCGATATCTGGCAGTATACATTCTCCACGTTACTTCTTCTTTGAGAACACCTTGGATATTTGTGATCCTTTTCATGTCCATATAAATTGTATTTGTTTTCGAGGTCATTGATTTTTGTTCTTTGGCTTACTTTGTGTTTATAGTGTTCTTTTCCTTTTTCTAATTTCTTGAGGTGGGAGTTTCGATTACTGATTTGAGACATTTCTTGTTTTCTAATATACATATTTAGTATTGTAAATTTTTCTCTTGTCACTGTTTTAGCTGCATCTCACCAATTTTGACATGTATCTTCATTTTCACTTGGTTCTATTTATTTTTATTTCCTTTGAGAGTTCCTATCTGAACCATGGATTATTTACAAATGTGTAGATTTCCAATTGTTTGGTGATTTTCCAGACAAAATTAATTTGAGATATGGTCAGAGAACATACTCTGTATGATTTCAATTCTTCTAAATTTATTGAAGTTTATTTCATGACCCAGAATATGATCTATCTTAGTGAATACTCCATGGGTGCTTGAATAGAATGTGTGATGTTGGGTGACGTGTCCTACAAACGTCAACTGAGTGGCTTACAAAAGTCAATTGAGGGACTTCCCTGGCAGTCCAGTGATTAAGACTTCACCTTCCAGTGCAGGGGGTGTGGGTTCCATCCCTGGTCGGGGAGCTAAGATCCCACATGCCTCGCAGCCAAAAAACCAAAACATAAAACAGAAGCAACATTGTAATAAATTCAGTAAAGACTTTAAAAATGGTCCACATCAAACAAAAAAAAAAAGTCAATTGATACTGTTGTGTGATGGCATTGTTCGGTACTTGTCTATTCTTGCTTTCTCTAATAATACTATCAATTTTGCAGGGAGATGTTGAGAGGGTGTGTGGAAGCTCCCAACTGTAATTTTGGATTTGTCTATTTCTCCTTTCAGTAATATTAGTTTTTAATACATGTATACTGACGTTCTATTGCAATTACCGTCTTCTTGATGGATTGACCCTTTTTTCACGGTACATCATCCCTCTTAGTCACTAGTAATTTTCTTTGATCGGTAAACCATTTTATTTGACATTAGTATAGACACTTGGCTTTTTTTAAATCAGTGTTTGCACGGTGTAAGTTTCCCTCCTTCTACTTTCCATGTAGAAAAGAGCCCCATCCCATCCCACACTCCACCCTAGCCTTATCCTTGCCACACAGTCGTCTCGGAAACCTGCCACCCGCTCCCAGCTCCGCCCCTGGAGAGCCACGCCCATCGGCCCGGGGGCCACCCACAGCCTGGTCCCCGCCCTCGGCGTCCCTCTTCAGCACAGTCACTCCCAGGTGGATCCCACCCCACAGCTGACCCAGCCCACAGCCCAACCTCGTACAAACTAAGCAAACTAAAAGGCCTCGTCCAGAGACTGGGATGCGCAGGAGCCGCCCCCGCCAGCACACTCAGCAAGAGCCGAGACCGGAAGCGGAAGTGCGGTGGCGTCGGGGTAGGGGGCCAGGGGCTGGGCCGGCGCGGGGGTGGGAGCTTGGAGTCTCGACAAGGGCAGCTGGTCTCCTGTTGTCGGGATGTCCTAGCCAAAGCCCGAATGGCGGGCAGAACTCCGTGAGCGGCGGGCGGCCGGGCAGAGGGCTCTGATAGGAGTTCGGGGAGGGGGCATGGGCCGCGCGCAGCCCCCGGTCACCGGCTCCGGAGCCCCCATACCTCCCCTGGGGCCTCAGGTCATTCCCTCAGGTTGGAGAAGCTGTTGTTTTCAACCAGCTCAGGACGCGCTGCCACCTCCTCAGAGAGTCCCCCGCATCACCCTCACCTATGGGCCATTCTGCGCCCCATCCCTACCCCAGGGTACTTTGAGTCATGTCTGGAGATGCTTTGGGTTGTCGCAAACTGGGAAGGAGAGAGGGCGTGGTGGCCAGGGATGATGTTCAACCTCCCACAGTGCACAGGACGGCCACCACGACAAGGAATTTTCCAGCCCCAATTGTCAGCAGCGCCCAGGTTGGGAAACCCAGCTCAACAGCCTTAAATGCTCCAAAGTCCTGAATGAACTGTGGAAATTGTTTGCAATTCAGCTGAGTCACGTATAGGGTCCCAGAGTGACAAGCTATGTTTAAAGTGTCCGGAGTCGCCATAAAATCTCTGTGCAGCCAAATGAGTTGAGCAAGTCAAATGCACACAATGTGACGCTGTCTTCTCCACTTGGGGAGCAAATGGCTGGCTAGGATTCAGGAAAACCCAGCCATGGTCAACAGTTAAATCAGTACATACACACACAAAAGGTGAATGGGGGGAGGGGGTCTTTCTATACAATAACTGTATTACTCGCTATGAAAAGCCTCAAAAGCAATATTTGTACCTTTTTTTTTTCCCAGACAAGAAACTCATCTCTGGAGCTCAAGCTTGTTTTGAAAATAGCCTCAAGTTCTACCTGTGCTCGCTGCTCTGTGGTTTTCTATGTGACCAGGTGAGTATTATGTGCAACTTATAACGACAGGTTCTGTTGCCGACCAGGGCCCTTGGACTCTTTAATCAATAGAAATCGATAAGAGGTCAGACGAGGAATTGAGGCAAGGCTTTATTGGGACTCAAGGGAGAGAAAACAAGTAATCAGTTCCCTTGCTCGCTCCCAGAGTGGGATGGAGGGCATGCAAGCTGGTCCCTTAAATGGGGTGAGGGTGGGGGCAGATGAAGTATCATTGCTTCTAGGACCTCTCCACTGGATATAGCTAGGAAATATATATATATATATATATATGTCTTTGTTTTTTTTTTTTATTTTGCGGTACGCGGGCCTCTCACTGCTGTGGCCTCTCCTGTTGCGGAGCACAGGCTCCGGACACGCAGGCTCAGCGGCCATGGCTCACGGGTCTAGCTGCTCCGCGGCATGTGGGATCTTCCCAGACCGGGGCATGAACCCGTGTCCCCTGCATCGGCAGGCGGACTCGCAACCACTGCGCCACTAGGGAAGCCCTATATATATTTTTAATCATGAATTTAAGATGATATTTCTAATTGAAATTTAACTTCACAGTGGTTTTTTTCTTCTTTGATTTTATATTAATCCCTTATATGTTATATTAAAAATATAGGTTCCTAATAACATTAATTTATTTAATTAATGATATTTTCCCTCAGTATATATAACAAATTACAGTCAGAAATTTTGCTGTTCTTACCTGGCAGTCTCACTTCTGGAAAGATACTCTGAACATAGACCTCCCAAAGTACAAAACAACATATGCACACGAGTTTATTCATGGGAGTATTACTTGCAGCAGCAAAAGATGAGAAACAACTCACACGTCCATCAGTAGGAAACTGGCTGAATTAGCAATGTGCTTTGAAAGTCAGGTGAAAGCATTTTTTTTCAAACTGTGTTGTAATCCTGTTTCCAAGCTGATGTGCAGTTAGGCTCATTTAGTTATTTGTTTTCAGTTTTGAGGATTGCAGTTGTATTTTTAAAATATAGTTCCAAAGTCAAAAACATGTTCAGGGAAGTCTAGATTCAATTCCTGTCTCCTCAGTTATTCTTCTTCCCTTATTGGTTACCATTTACATACGTTTGTTTTATCCTCTCAGCATGTCTTTTGCATATACCTGTATAAGCAGGTAGGG